CTTTTCTGATAACACCAAGAGCAGAGAGGCTCTTCTAGCTTCACATTGTTTCGCTAAATCTGTCGAACATAGCTGCTGAGTTCCTGAGCTCTCAAATTCCTTCTTTCTCGGTTTCCTGCCCTGGAACCAGCTGACCCCCTAACAGAGCCCACCAACAACCCCCTCCCGACTGAGCCCGTTTGAAAAATTATGATGTCACCACTGCTCTGTTTTCCTTAATTTTTGCACTTCCATTGTTTTTAAATATTAACAGGTGCGGCGAGGTCCATTTTCCCAGCCGTCTCGGAACCTATCACATCTGCTTCAGTTTGGACTGTCCCTTTGTGTATTTGTTAACATACATTTGCGTTTCTTCTACACACAGTTTGAGACATAAACTGGATCAGATTTTTTGGGGGGTTGTATATGGTTTCCTTTAGAATAAAGCAGATCAGCCATTAAATATAACTTTTTTTCTCTCAACATTGCATTTCATTGAAGTTTCTGGATGGATGGATGGATGGATGGATGGATGGCAGACAGACAGACAGACAGACAGACAGATAGACAGATAGATAAACAGACAGACAGAGACAGATAGATAGATAGATAGATAGATAGATAGATAGATAGATAGATAGATAGATAGATAGACAGACAGACAGATGGTGATGGGTAGATTACTTACAACTGTAGTCCATAATCTACTGGATTACACATATTAGGTAATGTAATCTGACTGCTTTTTGATTGCTTTTGGATTACTTTTGACCTTTCATATAAAAAAATATATTCATTTTTTGTTAACATCATGAAGTGTATTGAACATCACAGTAGGGTTTCCCAAACTGAGGTTTGTGAATGAACTGCAGGGGGATTGTGCGTTGACAAAAAGCAAATAATTATATAATTAATTGATACACAGACAGACAGACATATCGATAGATAGATAGATAGATAGATAGATAGATAGACAAAGAGCACGTTTTTGATTACTTTCCATTTAATGAGAGGCCATATCTATGGAAACCACTATGAAATGATCATACTGTTGTAAAATCCAGCTGATAAACTTTGGAAATCGTGTTGGGGGGCTTGAATCATTCTGCTTTAATAAACTTAAAAGCGCAGAATTCAACAAGCACCGAAAATACATGAAGCACAAAACTGCTGAACGGACCCCAGGGGGGTTTTACAAGCCAGAAGACACTTATAAGGCATTAAATAGAATTGTTATAAACGCTTTGCTCTGCAGCTGTGCCCTAGCCTTACACAAAGCAGAATGAACATGATACAAATTTCCAGTCACATCGTGGGACGGAGTGCAAAACTATAACAATAGCAATTCTGTTCTCCGAAAAAGCCGTGCCCACTCCCACCCCGTCCCTCAAAGTCCACCCTACACCTGCTGCATGCAGTGAGGGCGAGGAACAGCTGGGGGCACGTTGGGTGTGCATGTGTGCGAATGCATATGTTTGCGCTGATGTACAGTATGTGCATGTGTTACGCTTTACGTGTACGTTTTTCTGTTATTGCGCGTAGGCATGCCTGCGTGGAGACTTGCATGAAGCGCTTGCTGTCGCCACAGAGGCTTTGGTCAGATGGATTCTTCTCATACAGAGAGATATGAAAAAAATGTGTAGCGAGTGAGAGATTACGTGGCTCCTAGAAGCTTCTCCATCCAATAGAATCTCAAATCCAATGGTGCCACGGTGCTGCAGTATAGGCCCCTTTGGTCTGTAGAAATGTAATGCATTGTTGCTATAACATGCTTCAAATTTGGTCATTGGATTCATCAATGGATAAGAGCGGTTGAGTCTTTTTGTGCACAGGAACATGTGCATGAGACCAAGGATTACTTGTTGAAATAGCAATGGATCAACTCAAAGACAACACTGGCATGATTTGTAATCACTGCCATTTGAAAGAATGGCCTGAGCAGCTGTCTGTTTGAACAGCTGCTTGTGCAAAAAAAAAAATATATATATGTATATATATATATACTGTATATATTTTCTGTACTGTACTGAATCTGTACTGTATAAACTGCTATATAAAAAAATAAACAAATACAACCAAATATTGCATCAAAAACCATTTGGAATCTTTCAAGTTGTCAAACATTAGCAGAACATGTTCATAATTAATGTGATGAACTACATCTGTGGTTACTCTCTGTGAACTTTAGAGAAACTTTATAAAATAACGACTTATAAATTTAGTTCTGGGGGAAAAAAAGTCATTATTTGTTTGCAGATCCTACTTGAGTTGATATATATATATATATATATATATATATATATATATATATATATATATATATATATATATATATATATATATA